ACAACAACAACAACAACAACAACAACAACAACAACAACAACAACAACAAGGTACAAACAAAAACTGCAGCCCCGCTACAACATATCTTCTTCCTTTGTCTCTACAAGGGGGTGGAAACAAAAACTGCAACCCCGTCGTTGTCGTTGTTTTTTGACCCCCCGAAAACAACCAGCCAACAAGTGCTTTCACCAGTAGTGGTTGTACTAGTGCTAGTACTAGTGGTGGTAGTAGTAGTAGCAGCAGCAGCAGTAGTAGTAGTAGTATATAGTATCCGGTCAGCGAAGCCTCTGTAAAACTTCTACTTAGAACCTCTACCACATCCTAGAAAGAAAAACTGCAGCCCCGTTGTTGTTTTTTGACCCCCCCCCAAGAGGTGTTGTTGTCTCTACCCCCTCCTAGAAACAAAGACTGCAGCCCCGCTATTATCCCCTATTGTTTTTTGACCCCCCCCGTCCAGAATAACACCTCAAAAGCACTAAAAATAGACCAGCCCAGAGTTCAGTGAAACAAGTCCAACAAGTCCAACTACTTACGAAGCCAGCATTCGCTCAAACCTTCAACCGTATCCCTAACCGTGTCCCCTTGAAGTTCCAAAGTTACAACATGTGACAATTATGTTGGGCGGCTGTTTTTGTTTCTACCAACAACAACAACAACAACAACAACAACAACTACAACTACAACTACAACTACAACTACAACAACAACTACAACAACAACTACTACAACTACAGCAACTACAACAACTACAACTACAACTACAACTACAACCACCACCACCACCACCACCACCACCACCACAACCACAACCACAACCACAACCACCGCTCTCACACCTGTTTGCCTCTGCCGCCTGCCACTGGGCCCCCTGTTGGCCCGCTGTTGGGCGTAAGTCCCTAAATACCTGCATACCTGGAGCCTCACACGGAGTCGTGTGGGATGTTTGGTGACCAAATGGTTTTGGGGGAGTGTCACTATGTCCATCGCCCACTAGCTCCATCCAATCCATTGGATCATAATGATGGATCAAAGATCCAATAGTGATGACCATCGATCCACCACCTCAAGCCTTGGAGCACTTCATCTCTATAGGCCCTAAGTTCTGCGCGTTCACTTCTCCCGTGCACTTCTCCCGGCTGAGGCTCCCGGACCGGTCCAGCTGCGGCGCGTCCCGGAGCGGTGCAGAAGGGTTGTACGATCCAAGCGATGATGCGTAGTCTGTAGTCTGTGGGTCTTGAAGGATGATTTGCAAGCGGGATATCATGCTTCTGTGAATAGATCCATGTTGTGAATCAAGCCTTGAGAGTGAGTCATTGCAGAGAAACACAAGTACATCATGGTGTCAGTGTAAGTGTCTTGCTAGGCAAGTTCTGGTGTGGTGGCCCACCAATGAGTGAATTCCCAAAAGAGCATTGCAAATTGTGAAACTACCCTTGATCGGGCCTCTGTATAGACTCTTTCCAAGGTAGGTATATATTAGACAGTATCATTAGACAAATGCCGGCCCCGATACATTTGGGAAGGTGTTCGTCAGTTTAAGTGACACACAGAATCATGGCTTGCCTCATCTTGGGCATCCCTGGAGCCAAAAAGCAGCTGCAGTTCTGGCGTACATCTCTCGCTATAGCAGACTTGGAAACCATTCAGGGCCTGCACCAGATCGGTGCAGTTGAGTGCACCAACTACCCAGAAATGACGATTAGTATAGGTACATAGCTCAAACTTGCTGAACCCTGGGTTTCAACTGGACCAGGCTTGATCAACTGGGGTACGTCCTCTGCCCCTTCTTTCTGGCACATTCGCATGCCCTGCGTACTGTTCCATGATTGTGCTCAATGGCCACCCAAACCTCCACACACCATTCCACCAAACCTCCACACGAGCTCGCCCAAGATCGGATGATCAATCGAAGTGAAAGATCAAACGTTTGGGGAAGATTGAATGTGGGCGTTCACTTTCACTGCTTGGGGCGTTCACTTCTGTTTGATCATGTGGGTTCCTCAATCTCTGAGTGTCTTTGGGGCACCACCTTCCAGGAGTCCTGGCACCTTCCACTCACACGCACACACAAAGACATCACGACACCTTACCCATAGGGTCCAGGTACCTCCTGAAGATGTCTTGGAGGTGGGTTTGTACTTCCAGAGAATAGTCTTTGAGGCCAAAGGATATCCTCAGGATGGTCCTGAACCCTTAGGGTTAGACTTGATCCGCCAAAGAGATCTATATACAGCATATAAATGGTCTTGAATAATCTTGCTTGTTTCGATGAAACGATTGGTTATCAGGTGGTTAGTTGTCACAGAAGCACAAGGCAGTTCAGGATTCCGTTGTCATCCCTTCAGGGAAATCAGAGCCATGCAGAGAAGAGCATGACTTAAGTCTCCATCCTCTACTTCTCCTTGGTCCGAGTCTCCCAAATGTTGTAAAACCGTACGGAAATGTTGCACAAAGTGCTCCCGAAACTCTTCCAACCCACTGGGTGATTTGAGGGTTGGAATCCTCATTGGATATGTTTGCTCGTCTTCCCTTTCTTGGTTTTAACCCACCGCCACCACCACAATTTCTTTGATCAAACCAGGTAACCATATCAAGACATGTTACTGATGTGTTTTGGAGATTCCGACCCGACTTTTGGCCTTGTTAAAGCCTGTATGTGTTTTTGGTGTTATACAGACCATGAGTCCTTAGGGGGTAGAGTCCTTAGGGGCATTCTAGAATTGTAAATACCCAGAACTTCCCTCTGACTCACTAGCATTCAGGTGGAAAACCCCAGGTTGAACTTGTAAAGGAAAGTAGTCTTCCAATGGAGCATGTTCTACTTCCATCTCAGTGAGTCGTCAGAGTGTTGATGAATTGCTTTGCACTCAATCTCTTTGGTCTCCGACCCAACTCCTCCCATAACTACTTCGGTTCAACCTTCCTGCATTACCCCCAAAGCGCCAACATCCAAACCAGCCGAGGGAAATCTCCGTCTCAGAACCTCCCAGGGTAGGGGCGCCACCTGATCCAACTTCAACTTCTCCTGTGGCCAAGAGAGTCGCATTACTTACGCGAAAACGGACCCGGGTTTTGGAAGGAACGCAAAAAAAAATAAAACACATCGTCTTGACGCATTTCTTTATGGACCCCCTTGATTTATCGAGGTGAAATTCTGTTAAGGGGGTCTATTCGTCATTCAACAAACAGTCACACAAAATTTGATTCCTTGTGTTCAAGTTGTCCAGCTTGTAGAAGCTGGACCCTACAAGTATGCCCTATCTGCATCGAGCACTGCATCCACCTTGTCGCAAACGGACCCAGGGGGTTCTCCCCCCCAGACCTCAACCCAGTGATACCCGGTGGACCAGAAACCCGCAGAAAAGCGACGGGAAGGCTTCCTGCTCCAAAACGGACTCCATACATATCCACACAGATT